AAAGCTGCAAAGTTTCACGTGTGTTATAAGCTGTAACAAATCATAAATTAAATGTAGTATTTTAATTTACATCGATTACGTACATTATTAAAACATGAATAAGGAATTCATTTATTATTTTCACATTACTCAGCTTGTTAGCCAGTAAGAGACAGATTTTTGTCGAATGGCAACACTCTGTGAATCAATTATAAGCGAAGCCGCATGGAAGGTATAATTAAGATCTTCTGTTTCGCGCAGTGCATATCCAACTTTTAGATCACTTACGTAGTCAGTTAATAACAGATTCATTAAATTTGGAAAATACGCTAATTAGCTTATACTTTGTCGAAATTCAATACAGTGAGAATCCACTACGCGCGAGGGTGTGTCTGTCAATTTCTGAGTCATGACCAAGTTTATGAATTAAATTTTTCCGGAACAGGATTTAACATGTTAAGAGAAAACAGTATACCTCTTTCGAGATTTAGAAAAGGCAATGAAGCCAAGTTTTTCTATATTTTTAACATATCATTAATCATTAATTGAAAAATTATTTTTTAAAATTGCAAATGTGACTCAACATTCATTCAATATTTAAACAGAAAAATAAATATAAAATTTATCCCTAAAAAAATATAGTAGAAAGAATCTATGATAAAAGCCCTCAATTCACCCAGATTCTAAAACCATTCTTTTTTATCCCCCCATTAAGAATCTTGTAGGAAAGTTTGGAAAGATTGAGCTATCTTTGATGTTTGGATACTTAAGTTGCGTAAAGTGTCAGCATCCCCAAATGGGCTACTTCTTGCCCTTTCAAATAATGTCACGTCGACAGCTGACGATAATGGCCCGGTTAGTGAGACCCTCGAAAGGAAGATTTTGATATTAAAAAGAAAAATAATGATGCACTTGCCTCTAGAAACTCAAAAAGCTGTCATAATGGAGAGATAATATTAAGGTATTCAGTGAGATTGGCAGTTAACACAAAATGTGCAACAAAGTTTTCGAAACTGATTACAAACGGAGATGTTATATGACAGAGTCCGCATCCACAAATTCTGAAAGATCTGAATATCTGAATATCGAAAAAGGCAAATATATGTGCCGTAGATGTAGTCAACTCATCAGTGTTCCCATTTGCAGAGTGGTGTTGCCAAACATTTTTCTTTATATATATTTGCTATCCTATTTACATTTGAGATAGAAATTGACGAAAGTATCCGAATTATTTTCTCCGGATACCTTTGTATGTAAAAATTGTTACCGCTTGGAAACCGTAGAAAAAGTTCAACATTTTTGTTTACTTCTTTTGCTCTTCTGGCATGTTCATTCACAAAGTTTATACGAACCGTTAAACACACAAAAATACTAATTCAGTGTTTGAAAACACTGGAAAATATCAAAATGTTTAATTTAATTATTCTACGCTTTGAAGCTGTGGATGGCAACGATTTTTAAAGCAATTTAAAATGAAATCATAAATATTAAAAAGCTTATTGTGGCCAACAAATAAGATCTTATTTTTGTATTTAAAACTGTGAATTTTAAGATTCCAATTATAATCCATAGGATGTTACAAGCCTTATTGTGATCTGTTTTAATATTAGTTTTTAAGATACTGTGAGATGATTCGTTTTAAGGCATCAGTTTCCTACTTTATTTACTGTTACGTTAGTTATCATTCGTAGTGTTAGCAGTGATATCATTTTGGTTAATATGATTCAGAAAGGAAAAGAGAAAAACTGGGAAAGAAAAAAATGAGGTCGGAGAGGGAAAAAAATGCATATTACGTGGAAGTGTAACAGCATCTGGTGGTCGTACTTTCTGATTCAGTTTAGAAACACTCGAAAAAACAGCTTTAATACTATATGTTTTATTTTAAATATTTTGGTTCCCCTCCCCCTTTTTTGTTATTTTTAACTACTGAAAAATGATTGTAACCTTATGAGGTATTTCTCCCGCCTTCTTAGCACGCCTTCGTGGTGTGGTGGTCTGCATGCTGGGCGCGTATTCCACAGGTCCGTGGTTCGATTCCCAGGTGTTGTTCAATTGTCAAGTCTCCTGCTTCTCTCCCCCGAAAAAAAACTTATGTCTCTATAACCTCAACACCAATTAAAATTACAGAAAATATTACAAACATAAAAGAGGTTATGTTTAAAAATAGTCATCTGTAGATAAGAAAACGAAACTAAATTGACATTTCGATTTTAAACCACTATAATCGCACTCATCTGATTAATATTTACGAGTAATATTTTCAAAAATCAGAATAATCCGATCAAAAACAGTCTAAGAGACATCATTGAGCAATCAAAAAAATTTAGTTCTGTCTGAGCACTCGATGAGTTAACATCAACACTGAGCAGTGAAAAAAAGTTTAGTTTTCTCCAAGCGCTCGTCTAGAGTTAATATTAACACATGAAAAACATCATTCGAGACAGAGAAACTGAAAACAAGGTTTGAACGTTGTATAAGACACGCGTATGTTAGTTGGTCATTTTAATTTGAAGCACCATTCGATCTGTTAGAGAATCGTGGCACCTAATTAACTAATTAACTACGCAGATAGGGCACCATAGGTGTGGTGTATTTAATTATGGCAAAGCCCACGAGGGCTATCTGCCTAAGGGGAGGGATACCTTCGTGGAGGACTTTCTAAGGGAAACTGGCTCGTATACACGTTACACATGGGGAAAACCACGAAAACACCCATGCAGCCAGCCCGTTCGCGGGATTCGAACCTCGGGCCGAACTACCAGTGTTCAGCGACTTTACCGCTCGGCCGCTGGTGGGCCTTAGGGCACCATAGGTGACAGTACGATTTTGTTGAGTTCTGCTCTCTGTTTTGAAGGAGAGCACCCCGAAAGGATGGGCCCGAAGGTCCGCCACTCTCCCTCTCTTCTCCTACCAAGTACTTGTCGAGAGGACTTTTCGGCTCGCCGCATATCTTAAGTGCCCCCATGCCGCACAGACACTATACATTTACCAATATCCATGCCTTCTCCAGAATTCGACGTATGCTAAATATGGCTAAAGGCCGAGGACGAAGAAAATTTTAATCGATGCAATTGTCAAATAATACTTTATTATATTATGTTATGACACCAATTTATCTGTTACCCGGTTTTCTCGGGAATGTTCTCGAAGGTATGCTAAAGCTATATACACCCTGCCTATATGTGCAGAGAGTGGTAGTATCTTGAGTTCAGAGATTGGCTTGAAAGCGATTGACCGAGTCGGGTACTTTAGTGCTTTCCCGTGAAGCTGCCTTCACCATTATATCCTGAAGGCTGTGTTGCTGACTGTTTTAGCATGTTTATCGTAGTTATTCTACGACTGTAACGCGTCTTTCGAACTGTCCTGTGTAATTAATACTGGCAAATAAATTGGGTTTTGATTCTTCATCAAGTGTTATCATCAATTACTCCAAATACGCGAATCCGTTGAACGCAACAATACTATATAGTAAAAGGTTTTGAAAAGAATTTTTTTTTTATCTGCAGGCAGTAAACTTGACTTGCGGGCGTGCAGTCTATAGTCTAAAATCAATTACATTCGTAATTTAGTAACATGCAAATTCCCAAATATTATTCTATTTACACCCTTATCAACGCAGTCGGTACTGTCTAGTTCCCCTCTCTCGCTTTGGCAAGCATACAAATTAACAGCGCCCAATAAATTGATCGTTTAGACACGCAAGGCTACGTTTATCATTGCCTAATAAGCGTTAAAGCCACATTTAAATATTACGCAAGTAGCGTTAGACGTACTAAAGCGACTGTATTTACATGGTCTCTTACATTTTTACCACTTAAATACTTTTCCATGTTTATATTATTAATGCCTTTATTTTCTAAAGATATATCTATCACAACAGCATAAATACAATTTCATTAATATTACGATTTAATATTATTTTATTCTTCCTGTTTACCCCATTTGTCATTTTTAGGGGTATGGAATGTGTGAGTGTTCCTTAAACTTCGTATGAAGCTCGCGATTGATTTTTTATATAAAAGTATCTCAGCAAGAAAACAAGTTGGTCACTTAAATTGTATAATATACGTGTTTAAATTTCCAAATTATCATCTCTGGAAGTAGAAAAGAATTTGGACGTAAAACTGAAAATCTGAACCATCTTTGAGAATGAAATTATTACTATTATTATTATCACTATCATAGAAAGTAGCCATTTGTAGTTCGCCACTTTGGACTAAAGTTCCTGATAAGTATCCAAAATTCTTCTTCATTGCTAAACCAAACCTTATGATATTTAGTGATGGCCTGTTCGCTTTACAAAAGTTTTATATATATATTTATAAAATTTGTATGTTCATGACTTAAAACACAATTATGTTATACAAGTATTATGTGGCTATAATGTAATATATATTGGGCCTTGTTATCTGGAACGAAAAAATGGGCATCTATTACAACTAAATTACTCAAGTCGGTCTGAAACACCGTTTGAACGGAATATGTTGATTTGTTTAATTTAAACGAAGAACATATAAGCTACCTCTTTTAGCTCCATTTTAATTCTGATCGATAAAAATCTAGAGTATGAAATCAAAAAATGTCGTGACTATTTTCTTCTACTGCAATCTATTGACAGGACTTTCCCAGCAAAGGATTTTAGGTGTCGTTTATTCTACAAAATCATATGTCTTATAGTCATGCCTCATTTAAGATTCAACTTTTAGTAACGGCGTGGTATTCAGAATCCATACTATCCAAGTCGACTATTTTTTTTTTATTGGTAGTTTGCCAACATTTAAAAGCAACAGCTTGCAAAAGTCATTAGTCAACATTAAACTCCATTTTACAGAATATAACAACATCGTTAGCAAATAAAAATAAATACAAGGTGATCCAAAATCACAGGGGTAAAAAACAATAATTCGAAAAGTATGAACAGTAGCACGATGCGGTTTTCACATACAAACGCAGAAACATTTAGAAAATACTTTAATAATTAAATATTTTATTGCCATTATAGCTACATTTTTCGCCGACAGGTGGCTCTTCAGTTATGTCTAAAGTTCGAACAGAGGAATAGCACAGTTCGGAAAGCAGCTGGGATATCAACTCTGTGATGTGATGGCCGGCATTCATAAAAATGATCGTCACACGTGGCTCGACATTCTGGACAGAATGGAAGACGGTTCAGCCGTAATCTCTGTCACATGATAGATACAGGTAGGTATAAGTCCCATCGCAATAACAGCTCATCTCCGTCCTAATTTTGAGGGAGAACATCCCACAAGGCGGTCCAAAGGTCTCCCACCCCTCTTGTCCTATTATGAAGCAATCGAGAGGGCTTTCGGTTCGCCGTGTATTTCGAGAGCTGACTTCCTCACAAATACTGAACGCTTACCAACATTCATGTTTTCTCTGAGATTGGAACCCCGGTTCATCGGTACAGCGTCACTAAACATTATATGGTCCAAGTGACTCATGTCACATGATGTGCGAATATTTTCTTTCAATATGGTCAATAACCTCGACCAACCTCTGCGTATCTGTGTCCTCAAGGAAAAAATATAATCATTCTGGCAATAAGATTTTTCATTGTTTAAAGAAAAATCCCATGTCGTCCAGTGCATTTCTGTGAAAACCGGATAATTTATACTTTCGAATTATTGAATTTTATTCTTTTGTTACTTTTGGATCAGCTTGGATATGCATCTGTTTCAGTAATATCATTTCTACTGTTCTCATTTAATTAACAGAATAAGCAAAGGGGTACCTGGAAAAAAAAAGAAAAATAGCAGTTTTACTCTAGTAATGTAAACCAGAGTTCTGCATATTATGAATAAATCTTTGATGCCTGCCATCTTCAGCTAAAATAAATGCGAATTAATGACCCATACAAACTCGGCAACTGACGCATTAAAACATTCCGTAAACTCATAAAAAGGCAGAAAGGCGTTAGAAAGGTAAAAAAAAAAAAAAAAAAAATACGCCATCTATAGCTTTTCAGTACAGGGCAGGTGAAAGATTTATGCATTGAAAGCACATGCAAGAGCAGAAGCAATTAACTAAACCTGCGCTTTTCAACTTATCTCACTTGATTTCTCCACGAGCCATAAAAAATAACAGGAAAGTTTCTTCGGTGAATAAATTATGACTTTTTCACATCACGTGATACAATTTACAGCATTTCATTAAGTCAGCAAAGTTCTTGCAAAATGATGGCAGAAACAAAATACACAACTGATAAAAAAAATTGACGGTAGCTTCAAAATTTAAGATTTCTGTCAGACCCCTCAAAAACTTTGCATTTAGCGTTTAAAACTTAATTACATTTACAAATTTTTAAAATATTAAAATCGTAAAATTTTAAAACACTGCCTCCGCATGCTGATTTCAGTTCAAGATCTAAAATGATCTAAAGCTCAATAGCTATGTTTAGAATATTAGTTTCATAATTAAAATCCCAGAAATACAAAATTTGAATAAAAAATCTTATTTAAAGTAAGCTGTTGAAAAAAAGCAATGCTAAATGGGGGTGGAGAGAGATGGATACTATTATGATATTTCATGATAAAAACTACTGCCGCATGGAGACTTTTGAGCTTACTAAGACAAGAAATTCCAAAGAGTAAGCATCTTTTCAATATGTATTTAAAAAATTATGTTCCATAAATCGAAATAATCGCAGACATTATCAAAAACCACATATATTAGTTTTTTTTATAATTATACACAAACTTATCAGCTATCATATAAAAATGAACATTAGAAATATGCATTAATTAAATTCTGAATAATGTTTCACTTTCTAAGAATCATTTTAAAATTACATTCAAATATGGAGAAACTTTTAGACCAATTTTTACAGAAATTCGGTCATAGAATTATGAATTTTGTACATTAAACAAGCAGTCACAATGCAATTCTTCCATGAGATATTTCTAAGCCCCCAAAATTAAGAGTTACCTTGGAGAGATGAAAATTTTGCAATGTAGCCAAAATCCAAAACTAAGTATTTTGTGCAGCTAGGTTGAAATTAAAGGAGAATAACAGTTTTCCTTTAACTAACAAGAAATATTTGATTTACGTCTTTCATCTAAATTTATCGGAGTGGGACTTTCAAATTTTCACAAATTTTCTTCCATTGTGACATAATGATTTGAAGGAAAATTATTTCCGTACTAAAATTTTCAGCTTAGTTTGTAATTGTAAATAACTGAAAGCTCAAACAAAATACTATATATAAGCCAAAAATAAAATATGAAAGTTCAAACAAATAAAAATAAAAAAAAATCCCATAACTTACACAACATTTATTCAGGAATTTAAACGAGAATTCTTAGAAAGCCCCCCCTAGCGAATATGAATTCCCTTTATACCCAAAAATGGACCGCACTCAATAGCAAGACTGTTTAGGACTATAAATAATAATAGGTAAAAAAATATGTCACACGGTAAATAACAATTATATATCACTGCGTAATGTAATACTAATAATATGATACCAATAATAATAATATAATACTAATATGTAATTTAACACTATAAGTAATACTCCAAATACAGTACAACTATAATGTTGTAAATTGTTAAAACGATAAATTATAATACTGTTACAGAACCGATGACAGCTTAATGAAATTTATTTTTTCAGAAATACAGTTTTGGAACTTTTCACACAAATATTTTCGTAAAGCCCTTCTCAATATAACAAAGCACAATAAGTAGTTACCACTTCAAGCTATTAAGAACATTGAACACATAGTTTCCCCTATCCATCAAGAAATTTTCAGTACCTTCTATTTCTCGAAATTGCTGGAAGGCATATACAGTTACATTGGAATCGGACTAAAATGTCATCAAGCTCGTCAGCATTTGGGGATTTCTCGCCAAAACCATTGCCAGTTTGGCGCATTGGCGAGACGGTTATTTACCTCGACGTTAAATGACTTAACCCAGGCGATGCTAAGCATTCTGATGACTTTAATATATTACATTATACAAGAGATACTACAATTTACACATAATTTCTCTAAAATTATTTACATGTATAAAACATTCATAATAATACTATATTATTGAAATTATAAAGTATAGTACATATTAATGAAAATTATCTCATAAATTAAATAAAAAATAAATTACAAACTAAAATAAATATAGTAGTAATATTTGATAAATTAAATGCTTATTTATACTTAAAATTAGTTTATATTCTAATGGAAATTGACGAAAGTAAAAGTACAAATACAGGAAGAAGCTATGTCTGCATCTCTGTAGTACCTGTACTCTGTCACAGGTGATTGAGGTATTGCTGAATTTAGCTAACTGCTTATCTTTTTCATGTGGGCTATAGAGGCTATTTTTATGCATTGAAGCCATTTAGTCAACTATTCAATCAGCAAGGAACAGTAAAACAAATCGACAGGGTCAGCCATTTCCTCTGTACAAAATAATAAGATAACCGAATTAATTTAAATAAAGCCACCATATTAAAAGAAATCTCATTTTATTGAAATACACACAGCTACTTATAGGAACTTTCTTATTCTATCAAGGTAGAACACTCATTAAATTCCCTCCATCTCAGATCTCAACTCTTTTTATACTTTCTTGAATGACGAATAGCAGCGTTTCGGAGAAAGATAACGAGACAAAAAGAACTTAATAAATATCAAAGTACTTCCTTTCGAACTACTCTGGAACATTGCCTAATTAACAAGCCGCATGTAAGAAATAAGAACAAGCAGTAAGCAACTAGATGAGGGGGAAAAGCAGTGTTAATGATTGCGGGCACTCCAAATACTGCAAAATAAAAGTCTTCGTGTCCATCGCAAGTACTTCATATTATGCGTGTAAAAGACTAGGTTATATTATTCGGATATGATAAAACTCACGAGGACTGCAAGCTTGGACACCTTCCTGGAGAACTTCCAAAGGAAAATTGATTCGTATTCATGTTGCACATAAGAAACCACGAAAACACTCATGCAGCCAGCCAGGCAGCATGGGTATTGTCGTGATAGTTCGAAATTCTGCGTTACATAAAGATCTAAAGTGCATATTGTTGAAGAATACTTGATACCTCATCTTTTTATTATAAGCTAAATCAGTATTTACTATAAGTTAAAGAATTTTACTTTTGCATTTACCGTATTTCAATAAACCACCGGAAAGTCAAGTCTTCAAGCTGTAAAATAATACCAACCAAATCCACTTTACTGCTTCAAACTGCTCGAAGTTTCGAACGCTTCAGTAGTTTTTACCAGTGTTGTTGCCTCAAGAAGCAGTCAACACTAGCGTAAATTCTTTTTATTATTTCCCACTGATGATGGCAACATAATCTTTTTCAGTCCTATGGCCTCACAGTCATTTTTGGTATGTAGTGGCCCAAACTGCAACTATAACCTGCTGCTCCATGTTTGGCGCCATTTAGGCTAACAATATAAGCTCTGAAACGTGACTCTTATTTAAAATGTGAAAGGAAAAACTTATTTTTAATACATCATTTACCGTTTTTTGTCTGCAATACACAGTAATACACTATATTTACTTCAAACATGTAGCCTTATTTTTTATTCATCCTGTATATAATCTTTTTTTTTAATTTATTTAATATCAATACACAGTTTTCCTGAAATTTTTACTTTGGCATACAGACAATCACTGATATTTTATTTGGTAACAGATAATGTGCTAATGGCTAAATATTTAATGTAAACAATAAATTGAAAACTGCCGTTTTAGTTAGCTCTTAAATCAATATATCCTTATTTTGTATATTCTAGTACGTGCTTTAAGTAGTGCAACAGCCTTATCAAAGAACATGCACACACAACTTTTATAATTGCTTCTAAGCATTCTCGTTCCTCAAACTAAAATGAAATATTTAACAATAAATTCACTAATGACCTACTCTACGCCACAGCATGGCACTTAAAGTTACTCCTGTAACATTAAAACAAGCAAATGGGATCCGTTTTAACTTTCGTTCCGAAATCGTTAAGTGCCACCTCTACAATAAAAGTTCAAGAACAACTGAATCTTGTCTTTCAGCACCTTTCTCATTACGTTACTTAATGGCTTGGTATACACTCTTCTACTCCGAAACTACGCGTCGTTAAGTAAAGACGACAACAGCCCACTAACAGATGGGTATAATTGCTAGAGATCTCGCAAATTAGTTCATTTGCTTTCTCTGTTAAATGCTTGCGTGATCTTGAATATTTTATGCCACCATTATGGCACGAAAAGCCATACGTAGCTGTGAAATATTCAGAAGCCATTAAAAGCGCAATAATAGATACACATTGACACAATGAACAAATTTTGATTCGATCAAATGAATTTATTTTCATATATATAGTAATTTTACTGCAATTAGATATAACAGAAATTTTGGATATCTTATGAGAGCTGTTCTTCCATTTTCCAGAAACCTTCAGTGGAACAGGCGAATAAATTCCAAAAAAGCAGAACTTCCGCTACCTCACTTGTTGCCCTTCTTCAATTCGCATATGTCAGTAATACTGAAAGTAAAGCGATAAGCCCGTCCAACTAGCAATTGGAAGATTCGTAGTTTTTCTGGTGAAGGCACAGTTAATTTTTCGTATTTGCTGCACTAAAAAGTGTCGCATGCATTTAGAATGCAGTTGATAATAACATGTCACCACTTAGAACGGAACGACAAGGTCTTTCTTTTTTTCAATTTTAAGCAAAAAATTTTAATAGTCCTTTTAATTCAGCTATATTTTTAAAAAGCATTTCTAAGAAATCTCAAAATAAAAAAATAATAAAAATCGATACCACGGATGCCGACCAAAATAATCTGACGATTTTGAGATTGAATAAAATTTAAGTCAAATGTTTATCAAATGTTTATATATTTTATAAAATAACAGAATTAATAATGCAGTTTGTTATAATATTAGTTATAACAGAGTATTATTTCTTGTCAGCCTTTTATTTTTTTTTTGTATAAAATGTATTTTTAAATACTCTTGGCCATTGTTACAGAACTTCTCGAATCTGTCACACAAGTTTTGCATCTCTCTTTAGTTCATGCTGATCGAACAGCTATAATTATTTCCTGTAATGTTACTTTAAATCTCTCCGATGTGTATTCACGCACACTTGAGACTTGATACGAAATATGACACTTGAGACCCTACGAAAATAAATCGCCTACTGACAATCCTTCCATGGGGTATCTCCTCTTTTCAGAAATCCCATGAGAAAGAAATAGTGGTTGAAATGTCGTCTCTGGCAATGTGATATTGGTCCATCTTGCAGGTACCATAGATTCTCAAGATCTATTCCGTGACGTTCATTGACATAGATATAGCTCTTTCCTGTAATATTACACCGAGTCCGTCAATTTTTCGAGGCTAATATACTCATACTTGAAATACAGATAGCCCCAAAAGAAACAAGCCATATGTTGTCACGTTTGGAGTACATGCCGGCCATGGAACATTTCATTATTTAAAAACCATAAGACCGAGAGATAACTGATGAAATACATTCTCTGACAGTACGTGATGTTTTCCCATCTAGCTGGAACAACAGATTCTCAAGAACTATTCCCCGGCTTCGACTTGTATAGATGTAGCTGTTTCCTGTAATGCTATTTTGAGTCTGTTTCCGAGGTTTATTTATGCACACTTGATACTTTAGAAAAGTCTAAAGAAAACAAGTCGCATATTGACACGTCTGAAGAACACGCTAGCCATGGAACATTTCCTCTTTCTCAAATCACACGAGCGGGAAATACGAGTATTTGTTGAAATACAGTCTCGGACTCTTTGGTAGTTAGGTGATCCTACTCCATCTTCCTGGAGCCATATTTTCTTTCCACGACAAGGCAATTCTGGAGCAAGGAAGTTCTGTGACATCTGAAAATGTATTGTTTAAAAAATAAGATGATGAAGACATGAATGATATTGTCATAAGAAATGGCACTGTAAATCTTACATGTTGAATAAAACATATTTTTGAGTTACATTTCTTGGCGTTTGTTTCAATTTCAAAATCTTCAAATTTCTTTGGCGTTCCCTGTGTAAGTTTAACGTAAAAAACTGAATCTTATTTTAGCTCAAATAAGTTATTTGACCAAATTTATTAAATATATTACAGAAGTTTATAAAAAAAGAAGAAAACACTTCAAAACCGCAACCCTAAGGCTAATTATTTTTATTCTATGATTAAAAAATATTTTTAAATTTCGAAGGCAACGGAGAAAACCATGGATATGCATCTCTTACAATTCCATACTATATTATAATCTCAAATGGCCAAAAATCAGTGATTAGGCATTTAAATTCTACACGAATGATGTGAACTAGCAAGAAATGAAAAATTAAAATAAACTTTCTTTTATCTACATTTTTCATATGCGTAAGTCACATGAGTTGATATCGTTGTGAAGATTATGAACGAGAGAAAATGTGTTGGTTAAATGTTGACAAAAACAATATAATCAAGGAGCTTCACTCAAACAATGCTGAAATTATTATATAACATAACTCTGCAATACTAGATTTATAAGATTGTTGAAAATTACTAGAAGGTAGGGGGAAAAATTACAAAAATGAAATGAGTAGGTATAATACTGTGCATGTTGCTCAGATTTTTTTCCTTTGAGTTAGAAACTGTTAGCAGAGTCTATAAAAAAATTATTTGCTATATTTTTAGCTTTACATTAAACTAACACACATTCATCAGCTACGCGATTTTCTTAATTTTACCATTGTGCAAAACATAAAAATTTTATTTTTCACATTGCCTCGCAAAGAGCCAGTTCTCAAAGTACAGACATGCGGCGAAGCACAAGTTCTTTAAGTAAGGCAACAAATAAAAAATTTCGATTTATCGAAAATTAAATTAGTGGAACTGTCGAGAAAACTACATGTAAGAAGTAATCTTAGATTCTACGTACATAAGCACTTTAACTCAGGGTAATCCAAAAGTCGCATGAATCGAACTTTCAAAAATTTGAGAAATTCAAAAATATTATTTTTTTAATTAATGAATATTAAGTTGTTTAAATAAATGTCACCTGTGTATACTTTTACAAGCAATACATCACTTCAAATTTCAATTGCAGTTTATACTGTTACCTTTAAAAACCATCTTTTGAGGGCAAGATGGAGATACGTTTTTTCCAAGCAAAATCAATTTTACTATTGAGCATTACTTCGCAATGCATTCTTACAGAAAAGTTGAAGTATTTAAAGAATCGGTCCACCAGCGGCCGAGCGGTGAAGTCGCTGAACACTGGTAGTTCGGTCCGAGGTTCGAATCCCGCGAACGGGCTGACTGCATGGGCGTTTTCGTGGTTTTCCCCGTGTGTAACGTGTATACGAGCCAGTTTCCCTTAGAAAGTCTTCCACGAAGGCATCCCTCTCCTTAGGCAGATAGCCCTCGAGGCTTTGCCATAATCATACACACACACACATTTAAAGAATCCGGTTTCTCAGAATCAAGTTAGGTTAGGTCTTGCAGGGTTCAAGAACTTCTTTAAATTCTTCAACGATTTTCCCGTAAGAATGAATTGCGAAGCAATGCTAAATCGTAAAGCTTTGTTTTGCTTGGAAAAAACTTATCGCCATCTACCAACCAACAAACGGTTTTCAAGTTCGAAATCTGTTTGAAAATCATAATAAAAGCTACAATTTGGTTTTCTTTGTGTGTGGTTAATATCACTTCATTCAATAGCAGAAATATTACAAGAAAACATTTATGCAAAGAATGTTAATAAAAACAACATTTTAAAGAGGATTGCTTCTTATTCTTCAGCTACGCGAAGAATAAACTATATTTACTGCGAATAAACTATATTTACTGCGTATAGTTAGAAACCATATTTATCAAAAATATATTTCTTAAAGAAAGAATATTTTTAACAGAGTAAAACTTTTAAATCGGAAATAACTTAGTTTAATTCCAAATAAAAAGAGACCGAGTTTTTTTTAAAGCAAAATTTCATTACAATACATTTTTAAAGCGAAAAAAATAAAAATTAAAAAAAAGGAGAGGGTTTTTCTTATAGGATTATTAAACGATCAAAAAATTAAAGAAGAGCAAATTAAAGACTCTGCAAAGACGATCCCAAGTATGAATTTTACTTAAAAATAACATCTGACGTTAGCTTATCCAGAAAGGAATGTAAAGAAGCAACTTGCGAGACATGCGGAAAATTTTAAATTATATAATACTTCGAGTTATGGAAATTCGATTTACCTAGGAATGTTTAGTGTTGTTTAATAAATTTCGTTGACGGGAAACTGATTAACGGACCCTTTCGGACAGACGCAGAATTTTTGAAATTCATACACACTTTTACAATTAGCTCTCTCCTATCAAGCTCATGGACCATTAGTTACAAAATTATTTTATGCAAGGAATCTATGAACTCTGAAAATTATTTCCTTTAAATCTCCTTTAAGGCAATGCTAAGAAAAGCTACTTTCGCCTGTATACCACACAGATATTCAGTTTTAAGGTTGCATGATAAAGAGTTTTCGTTATTAGAAACGTTTCCTTATAAGCTCAGCTGTAAATTTCTGAGTAGAAATTTTTGCATCATGTTAATTTAAAACTCTAAATGAATACCCAAGAAGCAAAAGTTGTCACTTACAGACTGAAAATACGAATGACAGCTTCCAGTAGCCATTAAAATAACACAGAGAATTTTAATTAAACCCTGCAGCGAACAGTTAACAAATTATCGCAGCTATCTCTAATTAAAATTACCGATTTCAAATCAAATTTATTAGCCACGAGTTTAAACTCCTACGAAACTTGCATGGCTATCAATCATAGATCACAGAGAGCTGGCCCCTAATATGCACAACTAGTTTCCTCCCACAGATATGAAGGCCAGTGTTGATTTCACGGTAATCAATCAATCCTACAGGAGTATTTACTCTTATATTTAATCACTCATTTACATATTACTTGAGCAAACGGTTGAATGAAGCAAAAAAAAATAGATAACTATCAGCAAATCATATAACTCTTACTTCAAGATCGATAACACATTAGATGGAGAGGCAACTGAAGCAGATAAAAGATCTCGCTGTAAGGTTTAATATTACTACAAGAGGAGATCCTGGTTACGACGGATGAAAATTATATTTTCATTAGACAAAAGTGCAGCTTCGTGTTTCCACTGAGTGAGCTGGCCGAGTGCCTGAACTGTAATACAGAATTGTAATAATGATTTATCGTTAGATATTGGCTTCTGTGAGGCAAGAAATCACATATTTCCATGGGTAAACCGATATACCGTATGCTAGGAAAGCTATTTTAGTTGCTACTGCAAACTCTAAGTTTCGTATTGTTGTCTTACATAAGTAGTTCAAGCTGTGTTCCGTGGAACCCTGGGGTTTCACTAGTCAAATCTTACGGTTCTACGAGTTAAAATTAAAATTAAAATTCGAAAAGAAAATTGTAAAGCACTCGCCCTAGTTGACTAGCAATAATTAACTTGAAAATATGAAGATATATTTATTTACAGATTAGTTTTTTAATTTAATATATGGTCGTGATACATCAAACAGAATGACGTGCAATGTTTTGCGAAACTAAACCGTTTTCTAATGAAAAATGAATTTAAACGTTGGTGTTAAAATTTATACAATGCAGCACCGTTTTCAACTGAAGAAACAGATGCGGACCTCCACCAGAGTTTCTTCTGATAATTGAAGAGAACTATAAGAGAATACTTCCTAGAAGAAAAAAACTAAGTATGACTAGATAAAAAGAATCCGTTCGAGTTGTAAGATAAATCAAAAGATGTGCCAATGAAGGAAAGGAAACAATTTATCAACAGAGTTGGACATCTAAATTTAAGCAACAGCAGCTCCTAAAATTTTGGTTTTAAATTTACGCAGAATACCTAGAAGTTCCTGACACAGCTATTAGTAATTTAATGATATTTAGAACAACGTATTTAAGCGAAAAATCTTTCTCAACGCATGTGGCTACAGAAACAAATGAAATGCAGATTATGCAATGCGACTGCAGATAACATCAGCAGAGCTAGACTTGCACAGTTTGTGTAAAAAAAATACAAGCACACTCCTATCACTAAATATAATGCAAGGGCTGGAGATACCTGGAACACGAGTGTATGTTATTAACGAGCAAATTACATTAATTTTATGCTAAAATGTTTTAAAAATGCAGTACTTTTCTTTATAATAAATTACCAATAACATATTAACCTTCTTTAAATATTATTTTAAAATATATTCTTCTAAAGGTGGGAGGAATTCCTCCCCCCCCCCAAAAAAAAATAACAGTTCTAAAGATTGAGTCGATGAAGTTGGAAGACCTCAAGCCTAACAGTGACTCACATTTGTTTTCGGACAATTATATTTTAGATTTAATTTACATAGATCTTGTACTAAATATTGAAACACAGAGTCCATATTTTTTCCTAATATTTTGTTTTTACTGCATTTCAAGATCCATATATTAAAAGGTAAATATCATCATGATATTATTTGTAATAAAATAATGTATCCCCACAGTGTTAGCCAATCACTCACGTAGAAATTTTTTTTCAATAATGTGCACTTGTCTATAACGCCATTGGCCACTCCTAAGGCCAGAAGTGGTGGCCATTTTATTGCGTAGGCACCTAATAGGCGGCCACCGTTACCTCCTATGAAAGAACAAACAATTTTACATCCATGCCTTCTCCGAGATTCAAATGCGGGCCCTTCGGTATCGCAGTCAGACTCATCAATAAAATACATCATACAAATTATCGTCTGCATTTAGAAATTATTATTTGTTTATAGAAATATGTTAACAATTCCATATTTGAAGTGAACACATCAAGACGCTACAATTAACAAGTTCTGTTCAAAATTTAACTATTAAC